CTTTCGAGTGGGTTTATTTTGAGCCCCGAAACTTGCCCTAAAATAACCCGGTTCTGGTTTCGAAAACAGCAGAAAATGGGGAAGTGAGGTGTTTTGGGGTTTTTTTTTTCTTTTTCCTTCCTCCTTTTTTTTTTTTTGCATGCCAAAAAAAATAACACAGACTGAAAAACATCGCCACCTGCTCCGGGTAGGGAAATAAGCCCCTGCTGCGGTTTTGGGCTAAATTAAGCTGGTTTGGGGCTCAAGTCTTCTTCTTTTTTTTTTTTTTTTGAAAATTGTTGTTTGGCAAACAATTCTGGGCAAAGTCTTGTTTCCCCGAAAGGGGAGTTTTTCGTCTTGGGCCAGGAAACCCGAATTTGCTGACTTTAGCCTTGCAGATTGATCTCAGTGCAGCCGATGCAAAAAATAACCCTTAATAGTTTAGGATTTGGGTCAAGCTGGGTTAAAAAAAAAAAAAAAAGCACCCAGGGTGGCTGCTGCTAATATTGATTTTTAGTATGTTCCCCCTAGTTTTTAATCTCAATTACTTGAGTGTTTTTCGGTGCTCGGTGCGACTTCAATACGCTCCCGTTAGTTTTTGGCCCCAATTATTCGAGTCTTTCTCCCATTTCAGCGTTGACTAACCCTAATTAATTTTGTAAAGAGATTTTTTTTTCCCCCCTCCTTAGATCATTTATTATTTAAAAAAAAAGTCACGGAAACCCCTTGAACATGAACTCAGCCCTCAAACCCATTTGAAAGACAATCTCAGCCATGAGCTTTCAGGTGTTTATTAAGATATATATACATATATATAAAAATATGGAGACGACCACAGCTAATTACCGGAAAGGCAATTAATTAAACTCTTGGAAGTGGCATTGCAAGAAATGGGATGGGAATAAGCCAACGCTTGCTAGAAACGCAACCGGTAAGAGATTTATTTCACTTTTTTCGTCGGTGATCGATGGCTTTTAAGGAAGTTTGTGGCCCTTCGGGCTTAGGTTTGCTGTTTCGGTGCGTAAGTCAGGCTGAAGTCCCCCAAAACGGTTTAATATTGGCCCAAAACTTGGTCCGGCGGTTGCATTTGGTGGAAATGTTCTGTGTTTTGGGTTATTTTTCTGCTTGGCGGTGAGATAATTCCTGGTTTTTTTGATCCGTGTTGGGAAGGCAGGAAACCTGCTGCTGGTCGGCCAGGGCTGAAATGGGGAGAAATCATGGATTTCGATGAGTTTTGTCAGTGGAGGCATCTGCTTTGAGTGCTGGTTGACTCAGATTTAAAGCGTTTTGAGGAGCAGTTTGATTTTTGTCCCTTTTTTGAGGCAATACTTTGAGATTGTTTGAATTAATTTGGTAGGCTATGCTTGATCTCAAGGGCTGGGTTTTTGGGGTGTAATGAGCTGAATTAACCGATTTGGGGCTCTTGAGCAGAACTGAAAGCCAGGCAGCTGCTGCAGAGGGGACGCTTGAGCAGTTGCAGGGTGGCAATTAATTGCTTGATTAATTGGTTCATTAATGGAGCTGAGGGCTTGGGCATGGTTGGGTTCCTCCTAGTGCTGGAGCTGGGGTTGCATCTGTGGAGGGTACAGACCCGATTTGGAGGAAATTCAGGGTCTGGTGCATGGTGGTACCAGCTGGTACCAGGTGCAGGTCCACCAAAACCAGTTCCCTGGGGATGGTAGAACAGCTGGGACAACCTGGGGTGCTGGTACTGACCCAGTTAGGGTCGTGCAGGGTCTGGGGCATGGTGGTACCAGCTGGTACTGGGTCTGGATCCTGCAGAACCAGCTCCTGGGGGACCGTGGGGTGCCGGTACTGACCCAGCTGGGGTCCTGCAGGGTCTGGGGCATGGTGGTACCAGCTGGTACTGGGTCTGGATCCTGCAGAACCAGCTCCTGGGGGACCGTGGGGTGCCGGTACTGACCCAGCTGGGGTCCTGCAGGGTCTGGGGCATGGTGGTACCAGCTGGTACCAGCTCCTGGTCCAGCAGAACCAGCTCCTGGGGGACCATGGGGTGCCGGTACCGACCCAGCTGGGGTCCTGCAGGGTCTGGACCATGGTGGTACCAGGTCCTGGTCCTGCAGAACCAGCTCCTGGAGGGCTGTGGAGCAGCTGGGGGGACCATGGGGTGCCGGTACTGACCCAGCTGGGGTCCTGCAGGGTCTGGG